GCTGAGCCGTTGTTGCTCCTAGACATTTCCACTTCACAATAATTGCACTTAGATTTGACTGGGGCAGCTCTAGAAGGGCAGAAATTTGACGAACTGACTTGTTGGAAGGGTGGCATCCTATGACGGTGCCCTGTTGAAAGTCACTGAGCTCTTCAGTACGGGCCATTCTACTGCCAATGTTTAACTATGGAGATTGCATGGCTGTGTGCTCTATTTTATACACCTGTCAGCAACGGGTGTGGCTGAAATATCAAAATCCACTAACTTGAAAGGGGGGCCACATACTTTTGGCCATGTAGTGTAGATATGTATAGGGGTAAGGTGACTAAGCAACAGGATATAAGATAAACAGAGTAGCAGCAGCTTGTATGTGAGTGGGTGTGCGTGTGTGTAGACTCAGTATAAACGTACGTGCATATTATGTGTGAGTGTGTGTGTGAGTGTGTAGGACCCTGTGAGTGTGCATAGACAGTGAAATACAACAAATAAAAGGTCAATAAAGATACAAGATTAATTTAGATAGTCAGAGTAGCTATTTTGTTAGCTATCTATCAGTCTTATTGCTTGGGGATAGAAGCTGTTCAAGAGCCTGTTGGTGCCAGACTTGATGCACCGGTACCGCTTGCCGTGCGGAAGCAGAGAGAATAGTCTACGGCTCGGCTGGTTGGAGTCTTTTTTTCTGGGCCTTCCTACCACACCGCCTGATATAAATGTCCTGGATGGCCATGCGATCGAGGGTGGTGCTATTGCCATACCAGGCAGTAATGCAGCCAGTCAAGATGCTCTCAATTGTACAGCTGCAGAACGTTTTGAGAATTTGAGGGCCCATGCCAAACTTTTTCAACCTCCTGAAGGGAAGAGGCGCTGTTGCGCCTTCTTCACGACAATGCGCGTTTGGACCATTTTAAGTCTTTAGTGATCTTGTACATATTTCTGTCCTCGGCTGTAGCCTCAGGGTTATCTACGATAGCTCTGTGTGCGGTAGCCCTGTCCTTTAGTTTAGCGCCAACCTCAGTGTTAATCCAGGGCTTTTGATTAAGGAAGGAGTGAACCCTCACCGTGGGGACAACATGGCCGATACATTTTCTAATGAAACCGGTGACGGAAACATATTCCAATCAGCGCTAGCAAAGCAGTCCTACAGCATAATCTCTGATTCTGGTGACCATTTCTCCATGGAGCGTGTCACGAGTACTTCCTGTTTGAGTTTCTGCTTGTAAACAGGAAGCAGGAGTACGGAGTCATGATCAGATTTGCCGAATGGCAGACGAGGGAGGGTCTTGTATGCTTGCTTGTGGGTAGAATAACAGTGTCTAGGACTTTATCGCCCCTAGTGGCATTGGAGATGTGTTGAGGGAATTTGGGCATCATGTCTTAGTGACGTGGAATTAAAATCGCCGGCAACCAGAAAAGCAGCCTCTGGATGTAGGTTTTCTTGTTTGTTTATAGCCTTGTACAGTTCATTAAGTGCCAGCTTGTTATTTTCTTGTCCTGAGGTGGAATGTATACAACAGTAACGATAACAGCTGAAAACTCCCTCGGGAGGTAGAAGGGTCGGCATTTGACCATCAGGTATTCCAAGATGGGTGAACAGTGGGTCGACACTTCCACCGCGCTGGAGTTAGCACACCAGTTGGTGTTGATGTAGAGACAAACCCCTCCACCCCTCCCCCCCTCGATTTCCCCGACTCCACTATCCTTCCCCCCTGGTGAGTTGGATAGCCATGGGGGGTATCTTGTCTGAGAGCCATGTTTCAGAAAAGCAGAGAATATTGCAGTTTCGAGAGTCCCGTTGGTAGCAAATCCACGATCGGAGGTCATCCATCTCATTATCGAGTGACTGTACATTGGCCAGTAGAATGGAGGGAAGAGGTGGCCGGTTTTCCCTTCACCTTAATCTCACCAGGATCCTCCCTCTTGCCTCTGAAAATTGTGTCGGAATTACATAAGAGAGCCCCGGGCAGATGAATCGAAGTTTAAGCTGGAATTGGGGTAAGTAACTGTCGATCTGATGTTCAAATGTTATTGTCGGTTGTAAGAAATAATAGTGGATACATTTCGTGAAAAGAAAGTACAAATAAACAACAAAATAGTAAAGTTGGGTCGGAGCTTGCAAAACAGTGGCCATCCAGTACGGCGCCATCTTGATCATGCAATGTACCCATGAAACGTGTCTATAACATTAATATCTTAAGTTCTGAGAACATGGTAATCACGTTCTGGGTAAGTTCTAATTGACATTAAGGGAATGGTCTCTTGGAAACATGACTTGCTCATAAGAGGAACATTCCTATAAAAGCGTTAGTTAATGACCTAATGAGACTCGTGTTAAGTGAACGTTCTCTGAAGTTGTGGGAACATTTGTTGTAACCTCAGTCACTCCCTCAGTCACTAAGTCAGCCAGGCAGTCACTCAATCAGTCAGTTACTCAGTCTGTCAGTCATTAAGTCAGTCAGTCACTCAATCAGTCAGTCAGTCAGTCAGTCAGTCACTAAGTCAGTCAGTCAGTCCGTCAGTTACTAAGTCACTCGCTCACCTCACTCACTTAGCTACATTCAGTTACATGCAACACAAGTAATCTGCAAATAAAATATTTATAGCTATTACTGTATTACATAACAGCAGACTGCTGTCTATTCAGAGTGTGCATACTGATTGCTCTGTGGCAAAGAGGGGGGGGGGTTCCAGCTTGCAGGAATGGGCAGTTCTCAGAACAGTGCTCTCTCAGGCGTCAATCATTCAACTAGATCACCTACACCTCCCCATTCTCCCCTGCCCACCACCCCTCCAAACCTCTCCCTCGCCCACTCCCAGCCTGTGGTGTGTTGCTCCCAGTGCCCTCGTTGTTGAAAGAAGGCAGGTTTCTCCATGGCAACCGGAGCACTATAAGGCAGAGGAACTGGCAGCTAATCCTCAGGAGCTTACACAATTCTTACTTCTTCTCGTAAGAGGGTTTTACCGATGCAAAGGGATTCTCCGAAAACAACACAAACCCTTCCTCTCCATCCACCAGAGTAGGAAAACAACAACAGCTCTAGATACTACAGCTGCTGAAAGGTAGAGAGGGAAAAACGGTAGGTAGCTAGGTCTCTTCATGTTTCATAAATGTTTTGTTCCATTTATTTCCAACAGTAGTTTTGGATGGGTATACAGTTTTATATAGTCTTATAGAACTATGTGTTGTTCAGATTTGTCTGAACAAATTTTTTTAATTTAACCTTTATTTAACCAGGTAAGCCAGTTGAGAACAAGTTCTCATTTACAACTGCGACCTGGCCAAGATAAAGCAAAGCAGTGCGATAAAAACAACAACACAGAGTTACATATGGGGAAAACAAAACATAAAGTCAAAAATACAACAGAAAATATGTATACAGTGTGTGCGAATGTAGTAAGTTATGGAGGTAAGGCAATAAATAGGCCATAGTGCAAAATAGTTACAATTTCGTATTAACACTGGAATGATAGATGTGCAAAAGATGATGTGCAAATAGAGATACTGGGGTGCAAATTAGCAAAATAAATAACAATATGGGGATGAGGTAGTTGGGTGGGCTAATTTCAGAATGTCTGTGTACAGGTGCAGTTATCGGTAAGCTGCTCTGACAACTGACGCTTAAAGTTAGTGAGGGAGATAAGAGTCTCCAGCTTCAGAGATTTTTGCAGTTCGTTCCAGTCATTGGCAGCAGAGAACTGGAAGGAATGGCGGCCAAAGGAGGTGTTGGCTTTCGGGATGACCAGTGAGATATACCTGCTGGAGCGCAGACTACGGGTGGGTGTTGCTATGGTGACCAGTGAGCTAAGATAAGACGGGGATTTGCCTAACAGTGACTTATAGATGACCTGGTGTGTGGGAGGATGTTGCGAATGCGTTCAGAGGTAGTGTTGGCGTGCGTGCACTTGTGCGTTTGACCTGTGGTGACTCAGGGACCATACAGCATAAATACAGCATAAATACTTATATGTTAATGTCTGGGGAGCTGCTTTAGGCATCTGGGACTGTTACTCAGCATGCTGCTTCCTGTATTAGTATATCGTCATGTTGTGGGATCCATCTGTGTTCTATAGCTATTTATTATTGTTTAGATGTGGGATGGTAATCTCACTCATTGGTGAGCAGGTGGACATCCAGTGCGATTTTCAATTAAAAAGGAACTTGAACTTCTATTTCTATACAGTAAGAGTGCATGTGTTCATGCAAAGTGTTCCACCAGAATGTGTTATAGCCTCTGTGTTCTGGTAATATGGCTTAACTCTCTAATCTGCAACATTTTCCTTCGGAGGAATGTTGTTGTTCAGATGTGAGGCCAGGAGTTTAGAAAATATGTCTGTCTGATCTGCAGCTAATAGTTCACACAGAGGGATACTTTCCCCCAAACATTACACACAAGTTACTGCTGAGTGTATCCACTCGGGCGAGTTTCTCCAGCCATTTTGCACTTGTCTCATTACCAACATACTGTAGCAGGCTCTGTCCACATGGAGCAATTACTGTATTTAAACTGAAAGCTCTTCCCTTTATGCTCCCTCCCCTGTCCCCCTCTCTTTCTCCCCTTCTCGCACCCTCTCCCTGCCCTCAGTTCTTTCTCACTTGCTTGCACTAATCCCTTTGTTGTGGAGGACTGAGGGGCCAAGGCTCTTGGCTGACTGGCCATCCCTGTGTAATGGGGGCTAATTCGGGTGAAGGGCGCCCAGCCAGCCCTCCTGCTGGCCATCCTCTACTAGATTAGGCGGGCGGGTCCACTTTTAACGCCTCCCTCAGCCCAAACACATTCTCTCTCTCCTTGCTTCTGGCCTCGCTAAGAACACTCCTTTCTCTCTCTAACTCTCTTTCTCAGTCTGTCTTTCTCAATCCTATTTTCCCTGCCTGATAAAACTTTTCTCTTCCTCTCTGTCTTTGTCAAACTCTTTGCTGCACTCTCTCCTTCTCTCTCTTTTCCTCTCCTCCTTGTCGTCTCTCCATCCAACCCTAAGTTAGTGGCAGGGGTCCCAGCAGGGAGATGGGGGTCCCAGGTGGGACCATGAGGTTCTGGGGCCATGCTGTCCCCACGTTGCTCCTTCTACCCCTGTGTCTGCTGGGGAGGATCGTGGAGGGCCAGGCCCCGGAACAGGGCAAGGAGGGGGGCTACCTGCAGGAGGCCATCAGGGCTCTACAACTTGGGTCTCAGACCCAGCTCCAGAGGGACCAGACAGGGGTCCTACTCTCCACTGTCCTCCAGGCTGTGCACTGTGCAGAACGGATTGGGGGATCGCAGGAGCTCTGTGACAGGGTAAGACCTAGAATGTTCTATGACATCCAACTGTTACTCTCTATCTGTTATGGGGTTCTATGCATAACATTCTACTATATGACACTTTTATTCCAGTTAAGGTTTTAATACAAAAAATAACATTAACATTAACAGCAATTACTACCACAGTAGATACGATCTGCATTGACTCCTGTCTGTTCATTCTGGCAACCCTGCTTGTCATGGTTGGAATGTGAGTGTGTGGAGGCTTAAGGCCTTGACCCCTATGCAGCACTCATGCTGAGTGGTTTTAGAGGTCCCTCAATTTGTCAGAACACCACATAAAAATGTGGTCTGTGAGGCACAGGGTTTCTGTGTGTCTGTATGGGTGGGATTACAGTGTGTGTGTGTGTGTGTGTGTGTGTGTGTGTGTGTGTGTGTGTGTGTGTGTGTGTGTGTGTGTGTGTGTGTGTTAGAAGCCCTGAATGGAGGTCTCATTTGAACAGGGGATTTAGAAATTAGGAAAGCAACTCATTCATTAGAAAAGGACTCTTATTACCCTGAAACATTGTGTATTGAAAATATTTGCAAGGGTTAATGCTTTGCCCACTCTCTTGCCCTTGTGTGCTTGTGTGTTAATGTGTTTGTCTGGCCAGGGCTATATTCACACTAACACAAAGCCCCTCATTTCACAAGGAGCCATTGAAAGGGTAAAACAGGCCTATTATCAGACAATGAAGGGAGAGAAAGAGAAGAAAGTATGTGAATTACATGGATTCAGTTTTCTTTCACAGGGGTTAAAGCATATTACTGTACCTCTTACTGTACCACAGAACAAAATGTTCACTGTGACAAAGAACATGCCTTGGATCTTTACCACAAACTGTTTGCTTGTTGGCTTTTAGTCCTTTTTGTCAAATGTACAGATTTCTTATTAATCACTCTGTTCATATTCACTGATGGCTGGTCAATTTGATCTGGATCAAAATTAGTTACAGTAAATCCACTTGTACCGATTCCATGGCACAGGGTGTATGAGTTGATATATAAAATGACGCAAGATTCAAGACTTTGTGCCTTTCATCTAAAATGATTGTACAGAATTCTTGCCACCAACAAAATGTTGAATATTTGGGGCATAAATGGGGCATAAATGTTGATTTTGTTGTGAGGATACAGAATCAATAGACCATTTGTTCTGGTATTGCTCTCAGGTAGCCTGTTCCTGGTCTCAGGTTCAGGAATGGCTGAAAAAGCATAACATTAATCTAAAATTAACCCTAGAAATAGCATTGTTGGGAGATCTGGAGAGACCTGGTCAGTCAATTACTAATATACTAATAGTCTTAGTAAAAGTATTTATCTATCTTTAATTCGCAATCTGTGGATTCTATTCGATTAGATAGATTCAAATTGTATGTTAAACATCACAGCATAGTTGAAAGATATACACCACCAGTCAAAAGTTTTAGAACACCTACTCATTCAAGGGTGTTTCTTTATTTTTTTACTATTTTCTACATTGTAGAATAATAGTGAAGACATCAAAACTATGAAATAACACATATGGAATCATGTAGTAACCAAAAAAGTGTTAAACAAATCAAAATATATTTTATATTTGAGATTATTCAAATAGCCACCCTTTGCCTTGATGACAGCTTTGCACACTCTTGGTATTCTCTCAACCAGCTTCGCCTGGAATGCTTTTCCAACAGTCTTGAAGGAGTTCACACATATGCTGAGCACTTGTTGGCTGCTTTTCCTTCACTCTGCAGTCTGGCTCATCCCAAACCATCTCAATTTGGTTGAGGTCGGGGGATTGTGGCGTTCAGGTCATCTGATGAAGCACTCCATCACTCTCCTTCTTGGTAAAATAGCCCTTACACAGCCTGGAGGTGTGTTGGCTCATTGTCCTGTTGAAAAACAAATGGTAGTCCCACTAAGCGTATCGCTGCAGAATGCTGTGGTAGTCATGCTGGTTAAGTGTGCCTTGAATTCTAAATAAATCACAGACAGTGTCACCAGCAAAGCATCCCCACACCATAACACCTCCTCATCCATGCTTTACGGTGGGAAATACACATGTGTACACACTGCTAGTAGATTGTATGTTTTAATATTCAATAATAAAAAATAAACATCAAAATAAAAAATCCACAGAGGGGTTGGGTTAAATGCGTTAGACACATTTCAGTTGAATGCATTCAGTTGTCCCCCTTTCCCTTTCCTCTCACTTGGGAAAGTCAGCTGTACTGTAGTCATTTCTGCCTAGGGTTGCAAAGCTACCAGTAGTTTACCAAAGTTACCGGAATCTTCAGTAATTTTGGTAATTAACAGAAAATATATGGCAATAAATTGTAACTTTGGTAATTTAGACTTGAATAATAAATACAAAAATCTATTCATATATATATATATATATATATATATATATATATATATATATATATATATATATAGTGGGGAGAACAAGTATTTGACACACTGCCGATTTTGCAGGTTTTCCTACTTACAAAGCATGTAGAGGTCTGTAATTTGTATCATAGGTTCACTTCAACCGTGAGAAACGGAATCTAAAACACAAAATCCAGAAAATCACATTGTATGATTTTTAAGTAATTAATTTGCATTTTATTGCATGACCTAAGTATTTGTTCACCTACCAACCAGTAAGAATTCCGGCTCTCACAGACCTGTTAGTTTTTCTTTAAGAAGCCCTCCTGTTCTCCACTCATTACCTGTATTAACTGCACCTGTTTGAACTCGTTACCTGTATAAAAGACACCTGTCCACACACTCAATCAAACAGACTCCAACCTCTCCACAATGGCCAAGACCAGAGAGCTGTGTAAGGACATTAGGGATCAAATTGTAGACCTGCACAAGGCTGGGATGGGCTACAGGACAATAGGCAAGCAGCTTGGTGAGAAGGCAACAACTGTTGGCGCAATTATTAGAAAATTGAAGAAGTTCAAGATGACGGTCAATCACCCTCGGTCTGGGGCTCCATGCAAGATCTCACCTCGTGGGGCATCAATGATCATGAGGAAGGTGAGGGATCAGCCCAGAACTACACGGCAGGACCTGGTCAATGACCTGAAGAGAGCTGGGACCACAGTCTCAAAGAAAACCATTAGTAACACACTACGCCGTCATGGATTAAAATACTGCAGCGCATGCAAGGTCCCCCTGTTCAAGCCAGCGCATGTCCAGCCCCGTCTGAAGTTTGCCAATGACCATCTGGATGATCCAGAGGAGGAATGGGAGAAGGTCATGTGGTCTGATGAGACAAAAATAGAGCTTTTTGGTCTAAACTCCACTCGCCGTTATTGGAGGAAGAAGAAGGATGAGTACAACCCCAAGAACACCATCCCAACCATGAAGCATGGAGGTGGAAACATCATTCTTTGGGGAAGCTTTTCTACAAAGGGGACAGGACGACAGCACCGTATTGAGGGGAGGATGGATGGGGCCATGTATCGCGAGATCTTGGCCAACAACCTCCTTCCCTCAGTAAGAGCATTGAAGATGGGTCGTGGCTGGGTCTTCCAGCATGACAACGACCCGAAACACACAGCCAGGGCAACTAAGGAGTGGCTCCGTAAGAAGCATCTCAAGGTCCTGGAGTGGCCTAGCCAGTCTCCAGACCTGAACCCAATAGAACATCTTTGGAGGGAGCAGAAAGTCCGTATTGCCCAGCGACAGCCCTGAAACCTGAAGGATCTGGAGAAGGTCTGTATGGAGGAGTGGGCCAAAATCCCTGCTGCAGTGTGTGCAAACCTGGTCAAGACCTTCAGGAAACATATAATCTCTGTAATTACAAACAAAGGTTTCTGTACCAAATATTAAGTTCTGCTTTTCTGATGTATCAAATACTTATGTCATGCAATAAAATGCAAATTAATTACTTAAAAATCATACAATGTGATTTTCTGGATTTTTGTTTTAGATTCCGTCTCTCATAGTTGAAGTGTACCTATGATAAAAAGTACAGACCTCTACATGCTTTGTATGTAGGAAAACCTGCAAAATCGGCAGTGTATCAAATACTTGTGCTCCCCACTGTATATACTGAACAAACATACTGTATAAATGCAACATGCAACAATTTCAAAGAGTTACAGTTCATAAGGAATTCAGTCAATTGAAATAAATAAATTAGGCCCTAATCAATGGATTTCACATGACTGGGCAGGGGTGCAGCCATGGGTGGGCCTGCCAGGCCCAGCCGATCAGAATTTGTTTTTCCCCACAAAAGGGCTTTATTACAGACAGAAATACTCCTCAGCACCTGTCAGGAGGATGGATTATTTTGGCAAAGGAGAAATGCTTACTAACAGGGATGTAAACAAATGTGTGTACAAACTTTGAGAAAATGTTTCAGCTCATGAAACACTTTACATGTTGCGTTTATATTTTTGTTCAGTGTAGTATTCACTTTTTATGTCTGTGTCCATATTGTCCATGAGTTTCTAGTAGATAGACGATATGGTCCAAGAGAAAATAGCCTAATTAATGAAACAAATCATCTAATCAACAATGGCATTATTTTCAATTAACTCTGCAACTCTTCCAACTATTGACGTTTTTCACAACTGCCACCAGTTTGACGGTAAAACATTGACAACAAATACATACTGACATAGTAAGATAAATACAAATATTATATAAAGGATATTTCATGCTGAAACCCTCATATTAAACACCAATGGTATTCACTAAGTTGATGGTTTATATTTTAGGATAATGTTGAAAACATTCTATTTTTTTTTTTTAATCATCGTATTGAAGTATTTCATATATTTCATGTGATAAGGCCACACAGAGGGCCAGTGATAATTACAGACACCTGTACAAATCTGAAGTACCCAAAAGGGCCACTAGATGTCTTGTGATAGATTATATAAAATTCTGATTGAAGGTTTCCAATAATATACCCTCCCTTTCAACTCTATTTCTGCCTGACTCATTTCGCAAGCTTCCAGTAAAGGTTTTACTTCATTGCCAAGCAGCTGGAATGTTTACTTTGCAACATATCCCCTATATCACACACATTCTGCATGACATGTTTGATTGCTATGTTTACAGTGCCTCACTCCAGACCTTGTCCTCTCTGTCCTGGAGGACGATAGGAAGGCTTACCTCACCGAGGATGACTACCATAGAGTCTCCACCATTCTGCTCCACTACATGATCAACATGGAAGACCTGTGTGCCACCAACCCCTCCCCCTCCTCCTTTTCCTCCTCCTCCTTGTCACCTAGCTACCAGTACTACCTTCTGGCCCTGACCAACCTCCAACCTACAGAAGAAAAAGGCTTCCTCTCCTCCAATGAGATAGAGAGCATTCTGCAGCTCATCAACCAGCACTATCAACCACCTGCTCCAGAGACATCTGGCCCCTCCCACTCACAGGTAAGACTGCTGCACCTCTAGCATAAAACGTCATGTCAACAAAGGCACATTTCTTCACATCACCAGAGAATCATCTCAATCTCCACACATTGAAATAGCTGCAGACTGTTAGAGATGGAGACTAGAGATTTACATGAAGATATTCCCAGTTGTAATCCAGTGACACATCATCATCCTTCAGTGTATCGATGCCTCCCATCTACTGGATGAGGTGGGGATCACAGATAGCCAAGGTGCTGATCCATCCTCCGTGTCCAAACTGGCTGCAGCCATCATCACCCACACCCTGCAGGGCCATTGTTTCAGCAAGAGGAACCTGCCCTCCCCTGCCTTCTTTACAGACTACATCTTCCAGTCCCTCAACCGCACTAGCAACCTCCATATCATGGGTAAGTTCATGAGTCCTTTGTAGTGTCGAGTCAATGCTGCTAATTATTGCTGTTAAACAAAGGAGTCCGCTCATACTGAACTTTGATCATAAGTTTTATTCATATCACAAGATTTCAGCATAAGTTTACGGATGTCATGATCACCCGGAGAGCAGTGGTTCCCAAATTGCAAATGTCTGCTCTGCTCTTCTTCGTTTAAACCCAGTATATATAATCTTCCCCAAAATATGGGTGGCTCCCTCTACTGTCCAATCCCCTGTCTACAACACACACTCCCTGTCTGTTGTATGGGGCGTCACACTAAAACAATTCCCTCTGACACTAAATAAACATCCTCTCAGGTTCCACTGAAAAACATTAACAAAGTCATAATCTTAATACACTACACCTTCCTATGCGTGATTTGGCCATAGAGTTGGATAGAGGGCCCAAAAAGCTATTTAGTACATCTCTATAGATTTGGTTATCTCTGGGGATGTAAGCGCTGTTTGACGTCAGTGCTCTTTCTGTTGCGTAGATTTGGAGGAGATGCTGCACCAGCTTGGTGTGGGAGGTGGTGAGGGAGGGGCCTATCACTCACATTGCAGGGAGAGGCGGAGCATCACAGGCCCCTCCCATATAGGTTGTGTCCATGAGCCTTTGGGGATCAACACAGACTGGACACAGGTGAAACAGAAACTCAGACCCCACATTTTGTGGTGAAAACTGATTTGAGCTGTAAAGGCTCACGGTTCGAACTTGAGGAATCACGATGGAGAGCTTTCCCAGATAAAATATTTTACTATATTTTATATTCTTCTCTGTTTGATTAGGTATGCTTCTCAGCCAATCAGCTGGTGGATATTTTTGTTCTGGATCCGCATTTGCCAATTTCCCGGGATCACTTCAGACAAATCTGCCCAGCTGTCATCCAGCAGTTGCTAGGGAATGCCTGTGAGTCCACAGAGCCAGCTACACAAGGATCTCCACCCAGTGCCATTGAGAGTAAGACACTGTACCTCACAACCCATCATTAGAAATCAACAGCTTGTCTACACTGTCCTTTGGCCAATGTCAATATCTAGCTAAGATGTTCAGCATGCCCCCATTTGTCACTATTTGTCCTGAGTAGAGTCTAAAACATGTATAGTCCATCTGTTGAACAATGCCGTTTATGTATGGCTACAACACATAAAGCTGCTGTAGTCTGTCTCTTAACTATTGATGTTATCTCTGCTATAGTTCTGAACACATCACTGTCTCTGCTCTCTCTGTAGAATATGGCTACAGTACAGCTGCTGTGTTACTCATCACTGTGGGCTCCATGTTGGGCATCTGCTTGATCTTCTTGAACTCCTGCCAGGAGACCTATGCCCTCATCCTGCAGCTCTTTGTGGGCCTGGCTGTGGGCACCCTATCAGGGGACGCCCTCCTGCACCTCATACCACAGGTATAGGGCACAGAGGCCATGCTCATCCCACATGTATAGGGCAGAGGTCACACTTAAACCCCAGGTAAAGGGCACAGAGGCCTCATAAACCTCAAACCACAGTTATAGGGAATAGAGGTTATCTCCTAAATGGTGACATCTCCCAAGTACATAAAAATGGTGTTATAGCTGTTTCATCTAAACAGGCCAACCTATTTGGTCTAAGATATTTTCTAAAACTGCATAACAACGTTTTAACCATTGTAAAACAAACAGTGTGGTCAGTGACATCAATTGGGATTTCCTTTCTATCTTAGCTCCCCTTTTTTCTATAGTCATCATGAGTCATGACTACTGGACTGATTACAAAACATATAAGAATGCTTTCAGTGTAGATTAAATGTCTCATTGTTTTCTCTCCCTGTCTCCTCTGGAGATCCTTGGCCTCCATGATGACAGTCACCAAGACAATCATCACTTTACTGAGGGAAAGGAATATCTGTGGAAGATATTGGGAATCATCGCTGGAATCTACAGCTTTTTCCTCATCGAAAGGATCTTCTCCCTTGTGATGCCATCACATGGTCATGTAAGATGACAGTTTTTACTAAAGTATTTCTGTCTGTCTCTTGGCATATCCGTCTTCCTGTTTAAAACAACGAATATGCAGATTGTTACACACCAACATCGAACTACAGGCCTGGAAATGATCAACATCCTGAGGTAACTCAACAAAACAACAAAACACAAGGAGGTAACAATAACAACAATAACTGTTAGCAGGCTGTTTCACTCTTATGAATAACCAGCACGTCCTCATCCGAACGTTATCTGTGGAAATCCATTAAAAAACAAGTTATTCATTACTGTTTTCCCATTGGTTCCCATTGGCCCTGGCTGAAACCAGGAATGAAGCTGCATCCCTATGGGTCCTGGTCAAAAGTAGTGCACTACATAGGGAATAGGGTGCCATTTGGGACAGAGCCGGAGCTGAGCTGACTGTGCAGGTGGCTGTGGCTCTGGATGATGGCCTCTGGAGTGACTGGAGACTGATGAGTCTCTTTTTATCTGGCAGGGTCACGGGGGCCTGGGCCATTCCCATGACCTCCCCCGAGAGCTCAACTGCAACGGCCAGTCACAGAGGGGCAAGTCCATCTCAACCATGCAGCTGGTGAGTCTGTTTGTCCCTCTCTAGCACCCATACAGTAGCGTAACTGGCAGCACTTTTAAAAAAAACATGTTCAGTGATTGCACTCACTAACTGTAAGTCGCTCTGGATAAGAGTGTCTGCTAAATGACTAAAAAATGTTAAAAATTGCATCAATGGACGGATGAAGCAGTATGAAACCTATAGGTGGCCCTTGAACTTCCTCAGATAAGAGCAGAAGGAAAGAACTCAATTGAAGGTGCATCCTCATGCATGTGTCCCCTAGGCTTGTTTGGACATGAGCTGTCTCTACTTTTTGAGCGCTTTTGAGGTTTCTGCTTTGAAGAGAGACAAACAGCTGCGGTGGTATAACTGTGTTCCTGTGTCCACTGATGCTTCAAATTAGCGCTGATGACAAATCTGTCAACCCTCTTTGAACTGGTTGAACACAATTGGCGTGATGGCATAGATTACTGTTCTCAATATTAGGAAATACAGTTGAAGTCGGAAGTTTACATCTTAGCCAAATACATTTAAACTCAGTTTTTCACAATTCCTGACATTTAATCCTAGTAAAAATTCCCTGTTTTAGGTCATTTAGGATCACCACTTTATTTTAAGAATGTGAAATGTCAGAATAATAGTAGAGAGAATGGTTTATTTCAGCTTTTATTTATTTCATCACATTCCCAGTGGGTCAGAAGTTTACATACACTCAATTAGTATTTGGTAGCATTGCCTTTAAATTGTTTAACTTGGGTCAAACGTTTCGGGTAGCCTTCCACAAGCTTCCCACAATAAGTTGGGTGAATTTTGGCCCATTCCTCCAGACAGAGCTGGTGTAACTGAGTCAGGTTTGTAAGCCTCCTTGCTTGCACACGCTTTTTCAGTTCTGCCCTCAAATGTTCTATAGGATTGAGGTCAGGGCTTTGTGATGGCCACTCCAATACCTTGACTTTGTTGTCCTTAAGCCATTTTGCCACATCTTGGGGTCATTGTCCATTTGTAAGACCCATTTGCGACCAAGCTTTAACTTCCTGACTGATGTCTTGAGATGTTGCTTCAATATATCCACATAATTTTCCTTCCTCATGATGCCATCTATTTTTTGAAGTGCACCAGTCCCTCCTGGAGCAAAGCACCCCCACAGCATGATGCTGCCACCCCCGTGCTTCACGGTTGGGATGGTGTTCTTTGGCTTGCAAGCAACCCCCTTTTTCCTCCAAACATAAAGTGGGGGAAAAAAGTATTTAGTCAGCCACCAATTGTGCAAGTTCTCCCACTTAAAAATATGAGAGAGGCCTGTAATTTTCATCATAGGTACACGTCAACTATGACAGACAAATTGAGAAAAGAAAATAAGTATTTGGTCACCTACAAACAAGCAAGATTTCTGGCTCTCACAGACCTGTAACTTCTTCTTTAAGAGGCTCCTCTGTCCTCCACCCGTTACCTGTATTAATGGCACCTGTTTGAACTTGTTATCAGTATAAAATACACCTGTCCACAACCTCAAACAGTCAAACTCCAAACTCCACTATGGCCAAGACCAAAGAGCTGACAAAGGACACCAGAAACAAAATTGTAGACCTGCACCAGGCTGGGAAGACTGAATCTGCAATAGGTAAGCAGCTTGGTTTGAAGAAATCAACTGTGGGAGCAATTATTAGGAAATGGAAGACATACAAGACCACTGATAATCTCCGTCGATCTGGGGCTCCACGTAAGATCTCACCACGTGGGGTCAAAATGATCACAAGAACGGTGAGCAAAAATCCCAGAACCACACGGGGGGACCTAGTGAATGACCTGCAGAGAGCTGGGACCAAAGTAACAAAGCCTACCATCAGTAACACACTATGCCGCCAGAGACTCAAATCCTGCAGTGCCAGACGTGTCCCCCTGCTTAAGCCAGTACATGTCCAGGCCCGTCTGAAGTTTGCTAGAGTGCATTTGGATGATCCAGAAGAGGATTGGGAGAATGTCATATGGTCAGATGAAACCAAAATAGAACTTTTTGGTAAAAACTCAACTCGTCGTGTTTGGAGGACAAAGAATGCTGAGTTGCATCCAAAGAACACCATACCTACAGTGAAGCATGGGGGTGGAAACATCATGCTTTGGGGCTGTTTTTCTGCAAAGGGTCCAGGACGACTGATCCGTGTAAAGGAAAGAATGAATGGGGCCATGTATCATGAGATTTTGAGTGAAAACCTCCTTCCATCAGCAAGGGCATTGAAGATGAAACGTGGCTGGGTCTTTCAGCATGACAATGATCCCAAACACACCGCCCGGGCAATGAAGGAGTGGCTTCGTAAGAAGCATTTCAAGGTCCTGGAGTGGCCTAGCCAGTCTCCAGATCTTAACCCCATAGAAAATCTTTGGAGGGAGTTGAAAGTACGTGTTGCCCAGCGACAGCCCCAAAACATCACTGCTCTAGAGGAGATCTGCATGGAGGAATGGGCCAAAATACCAGCAACAGTGTGTGAAAACCTTGTGAAGACTTACAGAAAATGTTTGACCTGTGTCATTGCCAACAAAGGGTATATAACAAAGTATTGAGAAACTTTTGTTATTGACCAAATACTTATTTTCCACCATAATTTGCAAATAAATTCATAAAGAATCCTACAATGTGATTTTCTGGATTTTATTTTCTCATTTTGTCTGTCATAGTTGACGTGTACCTATGATGAAAATTACAGGCCTCTCTCATCTTTTTAAGTGGGAGAACTTGCACAATTGGTGGCTGACTAAATACTTTTTTCCCCCACTGTAACGATGGTCATTATGGCAAAACAGTTCTATTTTTGTTTCATCAGACCAGAGGACATTTCTCCAAAAAGTACAATCTTTGTTCCCATGTGCAGTTGCAAATCGTAGTCGGTCTTTTTTATGGCGGTTTTGGAGCAGTGGCTTCTTCCTTGCTGAGCGATATAGGACTCGTTTTTACTGTTGATATAGATACTTTTGTACCTGTTTCTTCCAGCATCTTCACAAGGTCCTTTGCTGTTGTTCTGGGATTGATTTGCACTTTTCGCACCAAAGTACGTTCATCTCTAGGACACAGAACGCGTCTCCTTATTGAGCGGTATGACGGCTGCGTGGTCCCATGGTGTTTATACTTGCGTACTATTGTTTGTACAGATGAACGTGGTACCTTCAGGCATTTGGAAATTGCTCCCAAGGATGAACCAGACTTGTGGAGGTCTACAATTTTCTTTCTGAGGTCTTGGCTGATTTCTTTTGATTTTCCATGATGTCAAGCAAAGAGGCACTGAGTTTGAAGGTAGGCCTTGAAATGCATCCACAGGTACACCTCCAATTGCCTCAAATTACATTTACATTTTAGTCATTTAGCAGACGCTCTTATCCAGAGCGACTTACAGTTAGTGAGTGCATACATTATTTATATATTTTTTTTTCATACCCCCCGTGGGAATCGAACCCAAAACCCTGGCGTTGCAAACGCCATTCTCTACCAACTGAGCTACATCCCTGCCGGCCATTCCCTCCTCTACCCTGGACAATGCTGGGCCAATTGTGCGCCACCCCATGGGTCTCCCGGTCGCGGCCGGCTATGACAGAGCCTGGATTCGAACCAGGATCTCTAGTGGCACAGCTAGCACTGCGATGCAGTGGCTTAGACCACTGCGCCACTCAGGAGGCCGAATGATGTAAATTAGCCTATCAGAAGCTTCTAAAGCCATGACATCATTTTCTGGAATTTTCCAAGCTGTTTAAAGGCATAGTCAACTTAGTATATGTAAACTTCTGACCCACTGTAATTGTGATACAGTGAATTATAAGTGAAATTATCTGTCTGTAAACAATTGTTGGTAAAATTACTTGTGTTATGCACAAAGTAGATGTCCAAACCGACTTGCCAAAACTATAGTTTGTTAACAAGACATTTGTGGAGTGGTTGAAAAATGAGTTTTAATGACTCCAACCGAAGTGTATGTAAACTTACGACTTCAACTGTATGTGTCATTTTAACAAAGCCACTATTAGGCCTATCAAAAACAAGAAAAAACATGGGTGAAGGTGGCGGAGGTTTGGAGTGAGAGTGGGAGAAATGATCTGCCAATGTGCTCTGGGAGGCTAATATAAAAGCACAGGAATTCAAAAGAGGCCTATAGGATTCGAAATTATTTTGTTAACATTTTGAACAGTTTGAACTCTGATGTTGCCATGTACAGAATGTTGCATTGCAGGGAAAGTGAAGAGTGGTGTGGGCGAGAGTAAATCTGTAACAGGCCATGGTGTAGGAGACCTTGATGCTGCTGTTGAATAATTCAGGCCTGATGCGGACAGTGAGAGGAGTAGACTGTTCATGATATAGACAGGGGGAACTGTCACTGATTTGCTGCTTTGTCATGGATCGGAGTAATGTCATTGTAATGCAGTGTAATGTAAGAAAAAAATCCTCCAATGTGTTTGTCTCTCCCCTACAGGGAACAGTGGAGGACTTGGAATGCACAGAAATCCCATCAGAGGAACCAAGAACCCCTTCACATCAGACGAGTGAGTAAGATATTTCATCAATCAATCAATCAAATGTATTTATAAAGCCCTTTTTACATCAGCAGATGTCACAAAGTGCTATACAGAAACCCAGCCTAAAACCCCAAATAGCAAGCAATGCAGATGTAGAAGCACAGTGGCTAGGAAAAACTCCCTAGAAAGGCAGGAACCTAGGAAGAAACCTAGAGAGGTGCCAGGCTCTGAGGGGTGGCCAGTCCTCTTTGTCCTCCTTTCTCCTTTATCTTCACTCACTGTCCCCAAGTCCTCAGTTCCATCTCTGTTTAATAATAATAAATAATAAATAATAATATGCCATTTAGCAGACGCTTTTATCCAAAGCGACTTACAGTCATGCGTGCATACATTTTTGTGTATGGGTGGTCCCATGTGTTCAGTTTGATCCCATGTGTTTAGTTTGATCCTGTTCTGTTTTGTTCTGTCCAGTGTGCTGTGTGTAATGTGGGGCTAGGACTGGGCTAGGGAACATAGAAGATGGGCTTTCAGGACAGAGCCGCCACACAGACAGACTTTCTTTGTGTTCCCAGGACAGGGTATTCCTATACTGGCTTTGATGGTAATCGTGGGAGACAGCCTCCATAACTTTGCTGACGGCCTGGTGGTGGGGGCGGCCTTCTCCTCGTCCACCGAGACGGGCATGGCGACCACCGTGGCCATCCTCTGCCACGAAATCCCTCATGAAATGGGTGAGAAGTCACAAGTCAGAGAGCAGCGGCTCTAAGGTCAAAGGTTGTTGGCATGGGATGGCAGCGTTGTTATTCTTCTTTGGGTTCTTTTGTCAAACATGACTTGAGTCATTTGTGTCCCAGTTGCGGAGAACTGAACACGCTGGTTCTAAATGACCTAAAATGTCTTCTTCTTCTTCTTCTTCTTCTTCTTCTTCTTCTTCTTCTTCTTCTTCTTCTTCTTCTTCTTCTTCTTCTTCTTCTTCTTCTTCTTCTTCTTCTTCTCTCTCCATCTCAGGTGACTTTGCGGTGTTGCTAAGCTCAGGTCTCTCTGTGAGGAATGCAGTGATGATGAACCTCCTCAGTGCTCTGACGGCCTTCATTGGCCTCTATATCGGCCTCTTCGTCTCCTCGGAACCAGAGGTCCAGCAGTGGATCTTCACCGTTACCGCGGGGATCTTCCTCTATCTGTCACTGGTAGAGATGGTGAGACTGGGCTACTGCTGTTCTTAGTGAAACACACACTGATAGATAGGGACAGGAGTTTAACCAGACAGTGTCCCCCCCTGATCAGTCAGCTCACACAGTCAAGAAAATATTCTGGCCCTATTGATAGGTAATAGATTGTTACAATTCACAGGTGATTTGTGATAGAGAGATGTACCCACTACTCAAACTCCCAGACCCTCATTTCTCCTTCTTCTCTTCCTCCCCTTTCTCTCTCTCAGCTTCCAGAGATGAGTCGTGTGAAGACCAACAGGCCCTGTATCATGTTCCTCCTGCAGAACCTTGGCCTCCTAATGGGCTGGGCCTGTCTGCTGCTCCTTGCACTGTTTGAGCACAAACTTAAGTTCTGATGACACGACACACACATCTTACTATGGTATCTGCCATGCAAATATGTAATTGATGGCAATGTTGACGGTACTTTGTGGTCTTGTTTTTTTAATCATTTTGACATCTTGTTTATTGATTACTGTATTGTTTATTGATGCTTGTTATAATTGTGTAAAACACCATATGAAGACAGTGAACAGCACATGTAAAATGTCACAAGTAAGGAACATTTCATAAGTGACAGTGATAGTAGAGTGACGTGAAAAATAGCAGTGACGATGTGAATCAAACGTCATTTTTGATCCAGTGGTTACGCATAATGTGAATCCACTTTTGTATAAATCAGATGCCTAAATGTGAGCTTTAGGATATGTACACATTTTCTATGTGATGATTTATTTTTGTATGATGTACTGTGTATCATAGGGCACATAGCTAGACGAGATCTTTATAACAGGTACATTGCTTGTATGTGTATATTTACCATGATATAAACATGTAACTACCAAAATAAAGGAAACACCAACATAAAGTGTCTTAACAGGGCGTTGGGCCACCACGAGCCACCAGAACAGCTTCAATGTGCCTTGGCATAGATTCACAGACACAGACAGACAGACAGACAGACACACACACACACACACACACAACCTTTAAACCCCCTATGCTCCTTTGAGATCCCTCTTTCAAAGTAAGTGAGATCTCTTCTTCTAGCCATGGTAGCCAAAATAATGGGTAACTGGGCATTTTTATACATGACCCTAAGCATGATGGGATGTCAATTGTTTAATTAACTCAGGAACCACAGCTGTGTGGAAGCACCTGATTTCAATTTACTTTGTATTCCTCATATACTCAAGTGTTTCCTTTATTTTGGCTGTTACCTGTATCTTCATTATAATGCTGTTGCCTTTGACAATGAAACCATCCATTGATCTCCATTTGATTAGGAAACCAAACCAAGACAACCTTATTTCTTTCACTAACATAGTTGGTCAAAACTAAAGATAATATATTTGAAGTAAATACTTGGAACAGGAACTCCATTACTGGATATCTATAATTGGTAGTCAGTATAATATTCTAAATACAGCACGTTGGGGTCTCAATAAGTGACCTTAGTTAGCAGCTGATCTTTTCCAGGTATCTGGAAGTGCAAGCAAAAAGATTGAATAAACTATGGGTGTTTACTCTGCCCAATTCTTATTGATTTGGAGATGGATGCCTAATGCATATGTTGCTGCCAAGGTCTATCATGTCTATCGCCTTTGTTTTTTATCACTAATGTTGAGGAGGGAGGGTTGGGAAATCACCTAGTCATTCTCAGTATGTAAACAAATGTGACAATCAATAAAACAAAACTTTTCTTCAAACTTACTGTACTGTATCTATATATAATAATATATGCCATTTAGCAGACATCCAAAGCGACAAACAGTCATGCGTGCATACATTTTTTACATATCGGTCCCAGGAATCGAACCCACTACACTCGCGAGAGCCTTTCTCTACCAACTGAGCCACAGAGGACCACTTAGCTCACCCCCTATGTTAAAGACTTGTGTTATCTACCAATTTTCTGCTGCTGGGTTTTGAAATTGTAATGGATGTGTTGTCACTTTCTTGTCTGGCCTGACCAGAATGGAAATCAGAGCTTGTTACTGTACTTGTGTTCTGTTATACAGTATGTAGAATTTGTTCTGTTCTGATCAGCTCTAGTCAGGTCTGCCCTGTTTGGTGGTCTTTTGGTTCTGCTCTGCTCTGTTCAATTATAACCAATGTCAGGGAATTTGGTTCTGTACTGCTGTTTTATGATAAGCCTTCTAATCTGTTATTGTCTCTATGGTTATACAATAACACTGCCTGTCAGCTCTCTATTTTGGAGATATGTATTCTCAGTCCTGATCACTGTACACTGTGAACACTGTGTGCGGTCCAACGGGGGGCAGTTCCACCCACCTGAGCTGCCTCTATTGTTCTCTTCATCCAGCAGAAAGCTCTTGGTCTGGGCTGACTAATCCACACTCAACAAGCTGGAGACTCCAGAGGGATCCTGCCCACACAGTGCTGCACTGTGCTCCCTCTCTCAAAGGCCAGAGTGGGCCTAGAGAGGGAGGGGAAGGAAGAGGGGCACGAGAGGGGCAAAAGAGAGAGCAAAGCCTACTGTATACAAAATATGCACTTATACTATATTCATGAGACAATAGATACATTTGTGATCTTGAATCTACTGTTAAGGCCACAATTATGATTCGATATTATACAAGATACGTTTATGTACAATTCTGATGAGATGCTCTCTTTAAGCAGTAACTGGTTAATGTTGAGTACTCGATACAGTAAAGTAACATCATTTCACAAAAGCCTGGTCCACAAGCTGGAGGTAGTCATCTGCCAATAACTCTACAATAAGGAAAATATGTTTATTCATAATAACCTCAGTATAACCTCAGATCTGCAAATACTGTAGATAGTGCTTAGATTATTTGGCTTATGGTTGGTTTCAAAGTCGTGAATATTCTGCTGACTCCATTTATTAGAGCTTCATTCTACAACAATGGGAGGAAGTTCATGACATTTTCTCTTATACTTGCAATTTATTTAGCTCATTTTGGGAATGCCGTCCCCTTTGGAATTTCCAGGATAGCTCCAGGTTTATTGGTTTGTGTGTGTGTGTGTGTCTATGTGTGCATGTGTGTTGTTCTAAAATACGCTCTTTGACATGCTTGTGTGTGTGTTTTGAAAGGCGTCCGCTGCCGGGATGGAGGAAGGAAGGGATTTTTATCTGGGCTGTGAGTGCACTTCTGTATCCGCAGCCATCCTCACCCGCTCGGCAAAGAGTCCCCAAAGCAGAGCAAAGGTCAGGGGACAGGAGGACAGAGGGAGCATAGACGTGAGCTAAGGGGAAAGGATAAGACAGACATACAATGGGATATGCCAGCGATGCACTCAGATGTTTTCCTTTTGGATTTTAAATCGGGGTACTGCTCTGACTCAAAACATAACCCATTGTGCTTCATGTACTGTAATTGTGCCAACGGTATGTGCTAAGTGTCTTGTGTGTGAGGTTAGAGTCAGGTTTTGATGTGTCAAGAGTTATGGTATTGAGCCAATGGTAAGGAATTGTCCTTAAAATGTGCCTCCTTAACCCATAAAAACCCTTTTCCACCGATGTCTACATTTGTTATTCTGAAACACTGAACCTTTGCAGGAAAACACAATTACAATATGCTGCAGAGTATAGGCCTACTGTAATTATTGTTTGTAAATTGCTGTATATGGATCATAATACAAAGAACAGTCTAAAGGCAATCTGATCAGAACAGACTCTACATTCATTAGTGTAGCAACTCCCAGAGTGTATCTCAATTCTTTAATTCCTCGCTTCCTCTCTCCTCACCTCATTCTCAAAGAGCATTGGCAGAGTAGATTCAAGGTCCCACCCCTAGGACCTGTTCCTCCAATGAGTTTTAAGAAGCAGATTGGGAGAGAGGATGCGAGGAATCACAGAAAGAGTAATTGGAAAAGAGCCCCAATGGTTTGTTGAAACATATAAAACCACAAGAGGGCAATGATGAATAATAAAGGCACTGAGTTTTGTCCTACTGTTTGTAATACCAACAACCAACAACATACTGCTAGAGGGGGCGGTTGGGGGCGGTTTACAGGAGGTATCAGTCATTTTGCCCATGACAAAGGCAACTGTCATTGTGTATTAGAAAAGTTTTTAGTGGTGACATTTGGCTTTGACAGGAATAGGATTCCTGGTGATGATGCATAATCTATGATAAAAAAAAAAAAAATGGATTTATGGATCAAATAGTGATTGACCATGATATTGCATTTTTGGTCTGTGGAGCTCCGGGCCTGAGCTGCCACAAGGGAATTACTGGGGCTTTTACTCTGTCTAGACCAGCAGACATATCATAAACTTTACAATACAGAAAACTGAGCATGGATTCCACATTTACAGTCCAGTGACATATCAATCATTGTGCATTAGCAATGTAATGTAGTGTGAACTAAAATACGGATAGAATGTAAAAAATATATGATTTACGTTCATTCTCGCTCTATCTCCCAGCTTCTTAATAGCTTCTACCCCCAAGCAATAAGGCTGCTGAACAGCTAATCAAATGGCTACCCGGACTATTTGCATTGACCCCCCCCCCCCCCCCCCCCCCCCCCTTTTTACACTGCTGTTACCCGCTGTTTATTATTTACATTTTACATTTTAGTCATTTAGCAGACGCTCTTATCCAGAGCGACTTACAGTTAGTGAGTGCATACATTTTTTTCATACTATGCATAGTCACTTTACCCCTACCTACATGTACATATTACCTCAATTACCTTGACTAACCTGTACCCCCGCACATTGACTCGGTACCGGTACCCCCTGTATATTTTTTTACTTTTGTTTATTTAGTAAATATTTTCTTAACTCTTATTTTTCTTAAAACTGCATTGTTGGTTAAGGGCTTGTCAGTAAGCATTTCAAGTTAAGGTCTACACCTGTTGTATTCGGCACATGTGACAAATACACATTTATTTGTGTGTGCAGAGTGCAAATATGATAATGGTTCAATTAGAGCCAACCCCCCATTTAGGGGAGCTAATGTCTCATCCCCTGGCCCCCATAATTTGTACACTGTGGTGTGTAAATGTGCTATAGTGCAAAGACAGTAGCCTACAGACAGTAGGCTTTGTCCTTTTATGTAAGGCTATTTATTGCAAAATATAAACATTTCATGTGTTTTTATCCAAAGTAACTCTTACTGTGAAAGGAGTAAATTAAAGAATAACCTCATCTCTAGGATAATTGCGCATGGGTGGAAGTGTCTGGTCAACGAGATTTATTAGGCTACAAACACCTATCAACGTGTGACGCTTTTAGATTTTCCCCTTCCCATTATGTTCCAACCCAATCATAAAAGTAATTATTATTTTACAAAATAAAGTTCAAATCATTGCAACTGTTAACTCGAGCAACTAGGATTAGTCTAGATGTTCCTTGCTTGAGACAAGGCTTACACCTGTGCCTTTGCTCGAGATGCGCAAACTTACCTGCATCCAGCTGCTGTAACCAGTTGAGTGCGCACGTGGGGGAAAAGGCTGTGGGAGTGGGAGTGAGTGGCAGTGAGTGGCAGATACTCGCTAAGTGACTGAGCTGTTCAGTGACATGCAGTCTTATTTATTTATTTATTTTTACCTAAAGGGAGGAAACAAGCCCATTAGAAAAACGTTTTTTACCCAAACTGCTCCTCCTTCCTACGTCTTACCGGTTGTGGTCTGACTCAAACTTCAAGACTGCATGGCAGAGTGGCTGAGGGAAATAGCAAGTCACTTAACTTCTCCGCCACAAAAGTCTCTTTAACACAACTCTTTTTATTAATTTGGACGTAACGTCGAGTCAAAGAAAAATGTCTGCTCTTAACTTTTGAAGAGAGCCACCGACCCTTGAAAAAGTTGATTGTCTATCTCAACGATCGATCGACGGTTGGATGTCAAATGGTCCATAA